CTGCAGCTAAACCCTGCAGCTAAACCCTGCAGCTAAACCCTGCAGCTAAACCCTGCAGCTAAACCCTGCCGCTAAACCCTGCCGCTAAGCCCTGCAGCTAAACCCTGCCGCTTAAAGGTTATACTTTCTCTCGATTTTATAACCCATGAGATTTGTGATTAATGTGAATAATTAATAGGGAAATGTTAGCGTTGACATTACGTCGTCATAACGTTACCTGGACATATAAGTTTAAAGATAAAATATAACCAGGTTCTTATATACTTACCAATTACTTCTTTGAGAAATAGATGATGTAATTGAACTAATTGAGGGGAAAAGCATTCTTATTTATTATGATTGCATGATCTTTATCGGCTATGTCCTTGTAATAAAATAAATCCACGGGCAATTTGTGGATCTGCGATCAACAGATCATTACTCATGCAGTTGTGAATAATTTCACAGTTAAATCTAATTTTCTCTTTTGAATATTGTCAATATTCCAAGATGCAATTCCAGTCTATTTGTATATGACTCAAATCAATCTTTCTTTTATAATCTGTTGCGTTCTCACAACGATAAAAACAGTCCCAGATTATTATATTTTCACTACTATATGCTTCCGAGTTAGGATGGAATTAATCGCGTTTTATTCCGTAAGGAATGACTACGTAATGGTCTTAAGCTCCATTATGCGCTCATCCGCTTAGGCAATAATTTTGGACAAGCTTTATGCAAATCATTGTCTTTAACAAGTCTGAAACTAATGCAAATCAACTAAACGATGCTTAATGCAAATCCAATTATTGGATTCAGGTCTGTTACAGAAAAAGTCTTACGCACTTGATATCATAGGCATTGAGTTTATTGCGTATCTTTCTTTATGTGGGATTTTCCGAGATGCTGAGCTAAAAACTGTTTCTTCTGTTCTGAAATTTTTTCACTTTCTTTCTTCTTTTATTCATTTTTTTATTGCTACATAATTCTGTTAGTTGTGCATTGTTTCAAGCTTACTTAGCTTTGATACTAACAGGTACTACCTCTAGCGGAGGGAAATTTCACCTGTCATATCGCAGAAAAAGTTGTTATTTTATACTTTTATTTCTGTGAGTCAGCTTGGTTTCAAGATAGATTGTTATGTATCAACAACAGACTTTGAATGAAATTTTTGTGTTTAAATTAAAATAAATTAGAAATAATAGTAGTACGCCCGCATACCTCTACGCTCTAGCCCAGCAATAATCGCATGGCAATGAATTCGCCAGCAGAGTCTCCAGAGATCTTAGGTTTGATTGTGGTCTTACTGAGGGGGCGGGTGAGGAGGCAAAACAGGAAGGCCGAATGCAAGCAAAAACGACATCTACTTAACACCACAAATGTCTGAGTGTATACTGCTTTGTACACTTGCTAACGGCATGTTTCATGGTGCAGAAGCCTAACAGGTCTCCGTCATGCCTATAAAAGAATAGGGTAACATGGGGCAGCGAGCCCACTGCTGGTCATGGGCCCATAGCGGGTTTCTCGCTAAGTATGGCAGATATTGGTCCGTGTTCTCTACTGCCGGTCGACAGTTTCACTGGGATGAAGTGTACGGATTTAAGTTTTGCTAGGTTTTTGCGTTATTAAGTTATTTGTGAATAACTGTTTTAGCCCAGATTAAAATTTTTTTGCTGCTAAACAAAACTGTTTTCGATTACGTAGATGAAGCTTTAGAAATTACTGTGAATTATATTTTGAAAGTAATATTTATAGGGATAATTTTGAGTTTAAGTTTAGACTATTAGCTTTTAAAATAAAATATTGACACGATATAAATTGAAAAGATACCTAGTGGGGCAACGGGCCCACGCGTGTCACGGGGCAAAGCGCCCATGGTGAAGTCTTGGGTTATACATCATTAGATTTGTTTCAATGACCTTTTCAAAACTATGACTAGCTTTTTGAATTACAAATTACACGTCATATTGCATGATTTTTTTATTTACCGCCTCAATGCAGCAGGTTTAGTTTCTAGTTATGCGTATTTATAACCCCTTATCGAGTTATTGACTCTTGCCTTGCCAAAAGTTGATTTCAGTCAACACCAATGAGCCAAAAGTTGACGAGCTTTTATGATGTTGGCTGAAATCACGATTAGGTAAGAATTATCTGCACATAATATCTGGATTATGGACGAAACCAGAACGAAGTTTTTTTCTGATCAAATAAATATATTTTTTCTAGTCAAGGATACATATTTTCATGTCAAGGACGAATTTTTTATCGAAAGGATATATTTTTCAAGTCATCGATGTATATTTTTATGTCAATGAAATATTTTTCTTCACGTCAGAGATAGATTTTTTGAGCCAAGAGTAAATTTTTTTCAAAATAAAGATATGATTTTTTGAGTTGTTATTAAATGAATGAATGTCATATTTTTTATTACATTTTTCTTATTTTCAACTGTGAAGTGTTATTTTATCATTTTTTAAAGAAAAATAGTCAATTGTGGTAGAGGGACCAAGGGTGGGCGCCTTGCCCCAAGCCCATGGGCCCATTGCCCCAGGGGAGGGGCAATGGGCCCATTTTGACACTTTTTACAAAATAGTGTTACATTAAAAATTGAATAACTCTATAGGCGTCTAATTCACATCATACACTCCTCATTAGTCAAAACAAAGAACCACCTCGTATCAATTAAAACTTCATCAAAATTTTAGCTTAAAAAAAGTGGGGGGCGCGCAGCCCCATGTTGCCCTATTGTTCTCCAGTTCAACTAAATTAAATGAAATCGACGCGGCAGCAGTTCCATAAATCTGTGACCGGTAATCTACATCCTTTGAGTGAGAATTACACGATTTACCGTTTAACTGTTGAAGTATTTCGTTTGAATTATGTGTATCTTTTCTACTGGATTTGATTATGATTAAATTTAATGGCACGTTGTTACGTTTCTGTTACGCTCCAGGAGGTACCCAATACAAAAACATATAGGGTACTCGACTACCGCCGTGGCATGACGCTGGAAGAGGCCTACCGCGCATACCACGATCCGAATGTACCTACCAAGCGCCTCCTGCTGGCCCTGCAGGATATCGCCGACGCTGCAGCGGACACCCACGTCGGAGACATGGGTGCCCAGCCAATGTAAGTAGACAGTACGAGTTTGTGGCCTCAGTACTATTACGAACGGTGTAATTAAGAGACCAAATTATTTCTGTGGCGTGAGACTCACGGTACAATGTAACCAACGAGTCATCCCTGAGATTCAAATTCGTAAGAAGTACTTGCAGTAAACTCGTAGTTGCTAGAATATTTGAATGGAACCAATAGAATATTTAGTAGTTAGAATATTGCTAGAATATTTGAAGGCGTAGGAGCCAATTAATGGTTCAATTCACTCATTGCCTTTCCTTTCCAGTATGATGAGATTTTTTAGTGATAAGTGGAACGAATCTGTCACCTTTAAACAGAGATGCCGAACATACAGTAATAAATGAGTAGGGATCTCATCGCCCCTCTACGTACGTGCGCTTCTTGTGGGCAACGATGCAATTGACGAACTAGCGATTCACAGGCACCTTGCCTCATGCAACACAAGCGCCGCACTCAGTGGACGGCTGTCTGTTTTCTAGCAAGGTTGTCTGTGTACGCTGGTCTTTCACTATCCTGCCAAAATTTACGCGGGGCTGTCGTTCCGATTTCGGTTGCGACTCTCGGATTAGAGATGAATCAGATGCGAAATGGCAGCCTCTTCTATTTAGCCGCCAAATAGGAGCTATTTTGAGTAGTTTCGTGGGAAAAAATATAAGGGTCAAATGACACACGAAATCAGTGGCTGGTCAGGCCACCATTAGCTTACCCTGCTCAGTAGGCGGCATGAGTTTTTAGCGCGAGCGTGCTTAGAAGTTCCCAACATGCGGGGGTATGCGGGTATGTGGGGGTCTACCTCCCACACCCCCCATCCGGAAAGAGCATAAGCCGTTGCAGCAATAGTAAGGCGCAAGTTTAGAACTAACCGTGAATCAGCACGTAGTGAAGTGTGCTCAATGCTTATCGAGAAGGTATTATAGTTTTGTCTCCGGCAGAGAGCTTTAAACAATTTGATGGTAAATACCATTGCACTTGTTGACATTGAACGGGATGCAAATGAATATTTTGAGTGCTTGTGAAAGTCCTTGATTTCGAATTGTTTGGAGATTACTGTTCTTCAAGCCCACAAAATAATGATGGCTACAATAGAAATGTTCAGCTTTGAGTATATGTCTGCCTGCGCGGCTAAAGATGTATCTCTTGCAGATATGCTTTAAATTGGAATTTCTAAGCATCCCTACGGCCAACAGCTTAATTTATGAAGATTGCATAAGAACGTTTGCCGTGGGTCGCCTGCCGAAAACCACAACTGCCCTGGATGTAGTGGACCATCATGATTCCTGCCTTCCGGAACGTAGCCTTCAACACTTCAAGCCGTCCGTATCTAGGCCGTGGGTCGAACCAGCCCTCGGTCGAACGGCCACTTGTCGCAGGACGATTAATTTTGGAACAGAACTATGCTATCTGAAACCTAACCTCAGATGCGGTGAACGTAAAATTACGTAATTACCCGGAAGTCAGATTCGATCCGCGGCCTGGTGGTGCACGGCAGGTGGTGGTCAAGGCCGGAGGAAGACAAAGCCGAGTGGTGCACGGCTGATTGGTGGATATCCGGAGAGATCCAAGGCGTTCGATTCAGGGCTTATTGGTGTACAAAATTGGTGGTGCACGGCTGCGCTCCCTCGGTGTGAACTATCGCGTACAAGGAGGCAGGAAGAACGTGCTTAAACGGGATCCCATTTGTGAGCAACTTATTTGATTTCACATTACTATCGTATATTCCGTAATAATTTTGGTTATCAATCCAGAAATTTAGAGTGCAGTTGATAATTTGAAAGCTTGAAAGAATTTAATTTTAGAGCTCAACTCTTCCAATGCAAAAAAAATATAACTCAGTACTCACTGCAGTGAGTGACAGAGAGCGCATTTTCTCGTCGACGAAAACTTGAGGTCACGGGCAGACGGACGGACAGACAGACATACAGACAGACGGACGGACGGACATGGCGAGCACAATAGTGCATTTTTTCCATAAATGAGAAAATGCGCTAAAAATTGACTACTCCTGTTGAATGTGATAGGATGGCTGTTTACTGCAATCAAGCTACTGCAGTAACTTGACTTTGTAAAGATTAACACTCACTTTTCTATTGTTTTGTCTTCCTTAACTTATGACGTATTTGACTGGAAAATTTAAATTATGAAGGAAAATTTGTTAGTTTTTCCTACTAGTATTTTTTAATAAGATGTAGTTGTATGGTGAATCTTTCGCCATCACTTCTTTCAAATCACAGCAATTATACGACGCAAGTTCTTCTTTCGACAACAATAGAAGATTTCAGCTTGCGGAATATTCTCTACATCAGTTGTTATTTGATCAGTTCGTTGCAATAGGTACTTCTCAAGTTCTCATCGGCAGGCGACATTCATCATGACTACGCATTCGTGTGTTCAAGATTTAGGCAGTGGTAGAAATTTTCGACTTTGGGCATGTCGACGCGTGCATGTTATTTAAGCTGCTCCTGTTCATATGCTTAAGGTTCTAATTTCTATATCGACACGTCAACTGGATCTATTTGTGTAGTCGAAACTATCATTTGTGTATTATTTGTGTAGTCGAAGTTTATCATTGCCTACGATGCTACGTACCTAACCAACAGTCGATACCACTGGGCGGGCCAGCTGAACACGATGGCAAATGTTGCAGAGCGTATTCCGATTATTCGCAAGTAAGTTAGTTGCTTTTGTTCTGTTCTATCTACTCTGTTTCGTTGTATTATCAGGTTTCATTATTGAGTTACATCTAAGTATAAGGATGAATTTGGTTATTTCTGAAGAACAACAAATTATACGAGGATAGGTTCAGGAAATTTCCATCGAGCTCAGCAATATTGGAATAGTATTAGCCGTTAGAAATGCTTCTATTCATCATTTTGCAGCAGTTGCAAGCAGTATTTCCAGACCCCGGTAAAATTTTTTGCTAGACAAATGGTTTCTTCAACAAAAGCACTATATTAAGCTTTGGGTGTGTGTCTGCATGCGTGAGCTTATTGCTCAAGCAGATGATAGATTATGAGCTATCGCTTTCAAGCAACTGTGAGCAACACATTTGAATTGAGGATTTCCATAACTATCGTATTTTCTGCTATTTATTTGATAGTCTCTCCAGGAATTTAGAGTGCAGCTGATAACTTTAATGCGTGAGAAGAACTACATGTGAAACTCAATACTGTCATTGCAGCAGCCGACGATGGATGCAGAAAGATCCTAATTTGCTATGAAGTGTGAACAACTGAAAGCTGCAATCAAGTTAGTCACTAGCCCTATCTCTAAAACCATTTTGAAAATTGAAGATCAAATTAATAACTTCATTCGTAAACTTAAAGATACCTCCGCCCTTGCCTCCGAAACTTTGTCTAAACTTCACAATGTTCAGCACCTGACTATGGCTTCATTCGATGTGGAAAATTTGTTCACTAATATTCCTCTTGCAGAAACTATTGAAATCTGCCTCAACTCTTTGTTTAAGGATGTGAATGATCTGGTGATCGGTCTTAACCGCAATCTTTTCAAAAAGATTTTAGAATTATCAGTCATGAACTCTTATTTCATTTTCGCTGGTAAACTTTATAAGCAAGTTGATGGTTTAGGAATGAGGCTTCCCCTTGGTCCCACACTCGCTAACATTTTCATGTGCTTTCATGAAGTTTCTTGGTTGGCCGATTGTCCCATTGATTTTAAACCGATTTTTTATAATAGGTATATTGATGATACATTTCTGATCTTCAAGCATTCATCTCATGCGGGCCTCTTCTTTGATTATTTAAACCTCAAACATCCTTCAATAAAATTTACTATGGAATTAGGTGGCCTAGTGGTTACAGTTCAGAGTACCAGGATTGGCGCAGAGAGGCGCGGGTTCGATTCCAGCTCTGTGCGCCAGTTTATGGTCAGAATCGGCGAGGAGGCCGGGCTGTTAAACACAGCAGAATTGTAGCAGTGCGTTGCGAGTTCGAGACCGCAAGATGCTGTGAATGTTCTGCGATGTTAAGAATCGACGACAGACCTACGGCCTAATAAACGCTGAAACCGCTATTATTATTATTATTATTATTATAACAATTGCTTGTCGTTTCTCGATTGCAAAATCACAAAATCCGGCGGTCGTTTCCAGACGACCGCCGAAACCGACATTTACCGGCTTGGGTATGAGCTTCTTTAGCTTCTGCTCGTTTCGTTTCAAATTGAATAGTCTTCAAACTTTGATATACCGTGGATATAGGATGTGTTCTACTTTCCATGATATGCATTTGGAATTCGATTTCATTCGTAATATATTTCAGCTTAATGGTTTCCATCGTGCCTTGTGTATAGTAAAATCAAACGCTTCTTGTCTAACAAATTTTCTGAAACTGTGACTGAATGCGATAGTAAGAAAATTATTTATTGCATATTGCCCTATTTTAGTAGTGCGTCTGAAACTATGTCCAAAGAATTAAAGATGCTGTGTTTGAAATATTTCCAAATATAAATTTGCATGTTTTACTGGTTCTTTCAAAAAAATTCAAAAATGGTTCTTTCTTCAGGTATAAGGACGTTATTCCTGCTCGGATGCGATCAAACCTGGTCTCTGAGTTCTGTTGTGCACGCTGTGCATCTACATACGTTGGGATGACGTCGCGTAACTTCTACATCCGGGTTTCTGAACACCGTGGCAGGAGCTATCGTTCTAACTTGCCTCTCGCCAAGCCTCCTCATTCTTCCGTGCGCCTCCATGCTGAACAGTGCGACGTGGCTGTATCTGAGAGTGATTTCAGGATACTCGGAAACTAGTCCTGTTTATTTCGATATAATGTTAGGTCTTGTTTAGGTTTTATGTCTGTCTTTGAATTTTGACTTTTAAAGTGATTTTATTCATTTTTAATTTAGTCGAACTGATGATGGAGCTGGACTCCGAAACGTTTTCAATATCGACATGGTGAATTTTCTCGGCGTTTTCTTTGCTTTTAAATTCGATTTTGTTAAGATTAACATGTGCTTCTCCATTCTATTGTGTGGTCTTTCTTTGTCGTCAATGGACGCAGAAATTCGAGGCCCATACAGAACCGTTTGCTCGATAGAAATTCAATGTGATGAAAGTTACATGACATGAAACGGTAAATATTTCAACGATTATTTTAAACTCAACGTGATTTTTCAGCAGGATACATGGATTTAATAGGAGAAATTGGATTGACTTGCATTACCTCGAATCAGTGATATTGACGTATCGATTGAATTTGTTATTTGCGATTATTGCCCTCATTTCTAACCACTCCATGTCAAAATAGTTACTAGCTGTAAACGTCCTTGCATGAAATTGAGCCTCTGATAGACTGTGCTCTGATCTTAAAACTAAGCGACAAGTACTAGACTACATATACATATATATAACGTACATAGATTTAAATGTCCCCTCCCTTCCCCTCATAAGGAGGGGAAGGGAGGGAGCTTTTTTTTAACGCATTTTTCAGGTGCGGCCGCGTCTGTCCCGAACGTGTCAGGCACCAAATACGCGCACCCCACGATCGCCCCAAGCTCTACAGGAATTTCACAAGATTATGTTTCGGCGCCTATTTTGCTCCGGCAACCGGAACCTAAAGCGGACATAGAGCCGCTTGTTTGGTCTCACTCTCTATTAGAGAGGCTAACTGATCTTTGGATAGAGCATGGATGGCTGTAGAGAGCTCAGTCAAAAGTGTATAAAAGTCGAAATGCAAAAGAACAAGCGCTGGTGAAAATAGTTGAAGTTTTAAAAAACTTTTGTGTACAAGTCACCATAAACGAGGTTCTCAAGAAAGTTAATATATTGTTTTCGCAATTCTATCGTGATTAATGAATTTCATTGCAAATGAATTCCATTGCATGTGAATTCCATCTAAATTCTATCATCCTGCTTCTGGATGAGCGGATTATTTCCAGATTATAAAATAATCATTTGGATTATTTTTCTTAGCAGACTGCCAAACAAGTCCACAGGCCGTCTAGTATAATTTTGGAAGTCTGATGTATTCGCAACTGATAATTCTTTGAAAATGTAATTGTGTAAATCGTGTTTTTGTAAATCTTAACAGCAGCACACCCGAGAACAATGGCCCAGAGCTCAAATTTGGTTATATCCATCTCCACTGACGTCTTATTAACTGGCATCTAATCTTCAAAGCGCGCGGTCTCGAGCTCCCGTGTACAAAAGTAAGTGTGAACGGTTGTGGGCGGTGAGGCGCTGCAGCAAGCGCCTCACCGCCCATGTCGCTGCCCCTAGTGTAAACGGGCCTTTAGACGGTGCCCCTGCAGACGGACATCCGGTCCTGCAACGCTGCAGCGTCAGCTTATAGGGTTGTCTCGCAATTAAGTCACTGCGGGCGCTGCCGTTGCGTTGATATGGCAAAGTCGTGGTCGTCATTCGTAGATGCTATGACCGTAATCATAGCTGTATCGACGAGTCGTAGCTCGCGACCGTTAATGTTCGAAAATGAGCGAATCCGATGGTCTCCCGGTGGCAGGCGTCACGACGTCCGCTTACTGCTGACCGTGATGGTTAGCTCTCAAGTACCAAAAACCTCTGGCGCTAACTCACGATTCTTCTTTACGTCGCCAGTAGGCCACAAATTTTACTTCTATAAATAAGCCATGGAGCCAATCACCCAGCCTCATCGTGCATTAAATTCGCTCAGCCACAGAGCTAGAAGCCGCAGACTATGCTTGAACACCGCAATCTAGAAAAGCGGCAAATTGCCGAAAGATAATAGCGCCGTAGATCTTCATCCGATGCTTAAGCATGCTCGTTCATAAGCAGGCAGTTCCTCATCCCGCTGAACCTACTCCGGCCTAACCTGTTCACGCTGTCCCGGCTCACAACCTTCTTGCAACCAATGACTGCCCCTACCAGCGCACTTGGACCGCCTTTCCAACTTCCTGCAGCCAATGAGGTTAGGTTAGGTCCGCTCAGTTTTGTTTTGGTGGAGAAATGTTGCTACTTGTGTAGGTTAGGACTGAAGAGGTTACGCCGGAAGAGGTTTGGCCAGATGCAGTATGACCGTGCTTACCTTTAGCAAGCTTCTGCTGTGGCTGTGACATTGAGAACTTGAATTCATAAGCTGTTATGCCCTCTAGCTTTCTTACCTACGGAAAGGGATAGGAACTAAGTGTGAAGTTTGGCAAAGCAACACCTTCACACACACAACAACACCTTCACTTTAACATTCATGGAATTCACAACTTAAAAGTAGTTTAATAATTCGTCCTCAGCTAAGTTCTAAAAATTCTGTGCTTTCAGATGCTCAAAAACGAAGTTCCAAATGCGGGATTTAAAGGTAAAGTAGGATATAGAAAGATCCCAATATTAGTTTAACGCCATGGCATCAAGATTTGAGCTTAGTTGAGGTAAACGATATCGTGAGGCCAGACTACGCCTTTGCTTTCTTAAGTATAGGCAAAGACATTTTCAATGATGAAACATCATTGAAGGAAAATGTTTAACTCCGTCAATGACGCTTTTGGTCGCTAGTCGCAATTTAAATAGGCGGCGTGCCACAGTGCTGACAGGTGGTGGACAAACCGGCACCCCGTATCCTAAAATCTCTGCCCAAGTTTTGAGCACTACAAAATTACAGCCTTTTTATATTTACCCAGAAAATATTTGGAAAAAGCTCTCAAAATGAACCATAAAATATACATCATCCAGGAGCTGCGGCTCTGTTTTATAGTAACTCGAGGCCTGCTTTAGAACATCGCATTAAAAATGCCTGGTTGAGTGACAATAAAACTACACTGGATAGGTCCTTTACCAAGCCCTCTGTTTAATCTACATACTTTTCTGCGAGATAAGTGTGGGAGAGACATTAAAATTATACGGTACTTATTACCGCAGTAGTAGTAAGATTCAATACTCTGGTAATTAAAATCAGTCATTAAGCAGGGTATCCGTAAACTTCTAACCTGCAAATCTGGCACTCCGGCATCAGGTACCACTTCAACAATGAGCAGTTCGCGGCGTCACATGCGGTGCTGCAGGCGCGGTGGGGGCGGTTGGTAGGCGCGTTGAAGACGCGTGACGTGGCGGCGGCGAGGTACCTGCTGGGCACGTCGCTCGCAGCCTTGCAAGACTTCTACTCGCACTCCAACTGGATCGAGCTGGGCCACGACTCTATCCTCGAAGGTCTTGGTGAGGGCAGGTACTTTCAAACATTGCTAAGTGGACGTATCTTCTTGAACTTAAGCACAAGAAGATACGTCTAGCGTACGCTCAGCTACTTTTAACACATTCAAAACTTTCGTACGGCCGACTTAGCTAAGAGCGTACTATCTAACAACATTGCATATCAGCCAATTACAAGCTCGTATACACGCTTTGTTTACGCTGATATTTACATTTAAATATTTTCCAGCCTGAAATGATTATTCAATTGTTTTAATTTTCCACGTCCGTAGGGCCCGCTGGTAGAGACACTAAAGAGTTCTAAAGCGTACTAAAAACAGAGTACTGAAGCACTTGTGTAGCTATTTCTCCCGCTGCAATTCTCTCCTGTATTTCGTTCGCTTCAACCAACACTTCATGTCTCCTGCAATAATCATCCACTCTCCGAACTCGATGAACTTATGTTTAAGCTAAAGGCATCAATAACACCTTCGAAATCATTTATAACATTCTTCATCACGTCGCCTTCCTCTGTCTTCAACATAATCCAGACAACTGAATCAAGCCTCAATACCTTCAAAACGTTTACAAGGATCGAATACATATGGCAAAATCATCAACCCCCGGACCAATGAACCCTGACCATGCTACGAATTCGTTGTCATACACCCCATGCACCAACATGTTAATATATGACGAAAGTTTCATGGTTACCATCGAACACTGAGTACTCAAATCGCGAATAAGTATAAAGACAGTTTAAACAACAATCACAACTCGAGCTAACTAAGGCAAAGACAACGCAACATACGAAGACATTACAAAACAGGATATACAAGAGTCCAACATTCCGTAGGACAGCCTGATTTTAACGAACTTCACTCAAATTAAATTGAATATAATAATCTGGGAGAATGTAATTAAAATCGCTCATGTACAGGGCTGCCAAGTGGGACGCTGCCGGACGTCGCTCGCTTCGATGAGGAGACTTGCGTCACATGCCTCAATGTGAGTAGGCCTGTTCCTGGATTATATCGATCCTAGTTACTAGTTCAGTTTTTCTCTGGCATTCTTAGACTGCATTAAAATTTTTTGCTTAATGGTCCCCACACTTACAAAGGAGAAAAATGTTCCTCAGTTTGAGTTTAATTCATAATGTCTCCAAGGCGAGCAATCGCAATCCACATATATTTGCTCATGTTTAATTTGTGCATGCTAAAGCAACCGCGCCCTAGCTCTGTAAATAGACTGGAACTCAAGAACGTTATATAAACCCTGCATCTTCTCACGGCTTATGTTGTTACTTCTTTCTATTCAAATTCTTTCCTAAGCGTTCATTTTATCAGTGAAATTTTGCTTGTATTCTTTTTTTACACTGTCAGAAGGGTGTTGAATGCAGGAGTCACCTGACAGATTATATTCTGGAGTCTGGCTTACTGACTTCTGAGTACGTCACCAACATGGGATACACGCCGCTGCCAGGTAGGTAGTACGGCCGAGGGTCTGCTTGAAATTTATGAGATGAGGCGTTACTCTGAGCTGATTAACTTTTGAAATTTGGCATAACTCAAGTTGTGTGCCTTTCTAATGTGTGTAGGAATGGAAAAAACGACGCAAATAAGGAGTGTTGAATGTATTTAATAGATCTATTCAGTTGTTTTCAGCTCCTTTACTGCTATTAATATTTCTGAAAGTCATGTATTAATCTTGAGAATGACACTGCCCCAGGCAAGTGTCAGCTTCCTCCCCGTCAGGCAAGACGTGGTCGCATGGGGGTGGGGGGCATCAGCAAAGACCTGCCCTCAGCCTGCTTCAGCCCTCGGCCTGACCTGCACAATCGAGCGGCGCGACTCGCTGCGCAGGTTAGAACTCGTGATATTATGAATGACAGGAGACTCTTCATGAGGAGTCCTCAAGATGAGACATTTGACGTGAAAGTGATAAGAAAAATGTAAAGAAAGTGTTTTCATAGGTGCGTATAAAAATCTAGACACAAATCGAACGATGGGATATTAATAAAGATTAGTCGTCCTTCCGATTTCATGAAGAATTGTAGGATTAAAATTTCCAGAGAAAAAGTTTATGAACGATGTTGAGACACATTTGTGTATGACAAATTTTCACGGGATTTGCGATTTCTCGATAGGTATAGTGGAAAATTTTCTTCAAAATATGCATTGTGATTCAATTATTGTGCCCGATTTGCGGTCCATCTTTCATGAAAGATTGAGCGTCGACTGATTTTACGACTAATGCTGAACAAAAATGCTTCATTCTTCAGAATAAACAACGCTTAATTCTTCGCTGAACAAAGATTTACTGACAAATTATAGGAAAATTGATTACGAATAAAATCTAGGACTGTATAACTATGAAATAGGAGTTTTTATGTTATGACAGATGTCAAGTATTTTAACTTTACCATTTGTCTAACAAAGCAGTTTTTGAAATTAAATACTTCAGTTCAATGTAGTACGATACACGATATCGAAGTGATATCATGCATGCAAGAGTCCTCCAAAAATATGTTAAAATAACCAGTGGAATCAAAAAAATTTCGTCAAGAAACGCAAAGAAGGGTGAAGAATGTTTCAGTGAATAATATCTTGCTTCTTAAGTGAAGAATTTTTTGATTATCTTTTAGAATTTTATCATTCGAATATAAATTCGAGGATGATACATAGTTTTTGTTACCTCCGCAAAATTTTTAATGGCTGCAGGCAACGGCACATTACCTCACGGCGCTCAGACAGGCCGTGGGCAACGAGCTATTCAATCACCTGCTGTCACTGCACCCAAGACCAGCTGTAGCCATCGTCACCGACGGCAGGAAGGATTACACCGAAACCCTGTTGAACTCTTTGCCTTTCGGAACAATAAAGATGCCAGAACCTGAAGATTACGATTACGACGAAGATACCAATATGAACTCTTTGCCTTTCGGAACATTGGAGCTGCCAGAACCTGAAGAATACCTATTAGTTGTTTACTCTGATACTGGTACGCCCTTAACGCTATAATTCTATGCTATGTTGAAAACCTTGTGCCTACTGAGCCCGTTATTATTATTGAGCCGCTCATTCAATACCTTTCCCTAACCGGAGCCAATCTTCGGGAACCTTATACAAAATTCACTTGAGTACCTCTCGCAGCACACTGCAGTGATTGGAAAAGATACTTGCAGGTGTAACACGATTGTGCGGCATTTGATGTTTGTAGGAAGTTCGAAATGGAACTCATGGTTTCCAAGATTGGAGGATGATTCAGGTGAGGGCGGCTCTTTTGTTTGCATAATTGGACAAGCGCTCAATTTTATCGTCGCTTCTTGAAAGAAAATAAGGACGCTCAATTATAGCCTGCCAATTGTAAGCCGTCAATTTACGTCCAACAACAATACGACGAATAACATGAATTGCCTTAAATTATATGCGAAAAATATGTATTAATTGGATTAGTAGCGTGAAATAACCATTACTATTAATCATTTTTTGAGTTTTTCTGTGGGCAGTAAGAGGAGGGGGCGGAGTGTTTCGGTCCAGTTCTGCTACTGCTCTTGTACAAGCCCTAAAATCATCCCTCATCGATGCCGTAGCTGCACCACGGGTCAGTTATTGTAAGAATATTGCCCACGCAATTCTCGAGAGATCGATGAAAGTTCTTTTCCAGCGGGCTATGGTCGAGCCTGATATTTTCCTCAAAACATGTAAATATGAACAGGTTTCTCAATCTAATGTGGCTCTGCATAAGGGCGATAGGCGCGCAGCCGTGGGCCACAAATTTACACATCCATGAAGACGAGACTGGCGTAAAATACTTAACATCATGAGCTACTATGCCCTCTAACTTTCTCGACCACGAATAAGAATGTGAACTAAAGTGTAAAGTTGGGACTTTCTTGCCTCAAGCATGCACCCTTCTGTGCTAATTCAAATGCAGTAATAAGAATTGTCTGGTTTTTACAGCTTCTTCTTTTACTCCCGAACAGAAATGCACAGGACTAGATGGCCTAGTACCAATTAAAGGTTAATTACAAATATTAGGCTTACATAGAATAGAATAGAAGTGTCGGAACTGAAGAAATAGGTCCATGGCCTGTTGCCGATTCTTGTACTTTTCTTGACTTGATTCCACAAGGGATCCGACCTTTTGAACACGATCTTTCCATAACTGAATATTGTTTAATTTTGCTGCCTGACTTATTGCCAGGTCCGTAAGGTGCAAGGCATTTTAAGACTGAACATATGCTCCTGCATAGCTTCGTCTAGTCTGTGTTTGAAGGCGTTCCTACTCAGAGCGTCAACGATTCCATTTGGGAAGCTGTTCGACATGTCGGTGAATCGAAGCGAGAAGAAATGTTGTCGTATGGATATGTTACAACGCAGTTTTTTAGTTTATAGCGGTGGCCCCTGGTGTTGGTTCATATTTCAAATTCTAGCAATTATTCTGGGACCTTGTATAACCCGTGGGTATACTAGTATACTTCAATGAGGTCACCACACAGACGTCGATAACAGAGGCTTGGAAACTTCATAATCTGTATTCTTTCTTCATAAGGCTTGCCTTTTAATCCCGGAATTATCCTTGTTGTACGTCTTTGAACACTCTTGACTAAATTTTTGTCCTTTTCTAATTTTGGTGACCACACGGCGTTTACAGACTCTGGGTTCGGACGCACAACAGCGACAAACAACAGCTTCATCGCATCTGCATCTAAGTACTCGTAAGAGCGTCCGATCAGTCAAAGTCGTTTATTGGCTTTATTAACTTGAGCTTCAATATGCTTAGAAAATTTCACCGCATCGTCGACATTGCTCCCAAATCTTATTTCATTTTCGACTTCGACATCATCACTCTCGCTTCGCAACACTGTCTTCTCATACAGTAATCTTGCTGTTCATTGTTCTTGCCAAGGTGGGTTACTTTACATTTGTCAGCATTAAAGCGCAGCTGCCCCTTATCAGCCCAGTCAACTAACCTGTCAAGATCACCTTGCAACCGTGCTTTCTGCGACGAATTCTTCACTGTATTATAAACTTTTGTGTCGTTAGCATACATCGAGCAAACGCTAGACACAGCTTCTGGCAGACCATTGATAAACACAATGAATAAAACAGGCCCGAGAACGCTTCCTTGTGGCACGCCGCTGCTCACTGAAGCCCAGTCTGAAACGGTCACATTAATACCGACAAGTTGTCGTCTCCCTACAAGAACATCTCTGATCCATTTGAGTTCTATACTCTCATTTCCCAAAGACTAAATTTATGCAACAGCTGCTCATTTAGGACACCGCTACATGTCTGTAAAATCGAGGTACACTGCATCTACTGGCTCCCTTTCGTCCAGTAGGCGGGTCCATTCATTCAAAGTAGACAAAAGGTTAGTGGTGCAGTATCTACCGGCAATAAAGCGATGTTGACAGTCTAAAAGGGGAGATTATTAACAGTCAAATGATCGATCTCTCACAACAGATTCCATTACCCTGCAGACGACACTTGTCAAACTGACAGGGCGATAGCTGCTCAAGCAGCTTTTGTTACCTTTTTCGGACAATGGTGTTAGTTGAGCTTTTTTCCAGTCAGGCGGCAAGATCCCTTCGTTCAAAGTTTGACGAAAAAATTACGTCAAAGGGCTGGTTAGGACGGTTGCTAACTCTGAGTAATCTGGGATGGAAGCCGCACGGTCCACATGACTTGTTGGGATTTAGAGTGACCGCGCGCTTGAGAACCTCTTTTTCTTGTATTTCAAAACTTGTTAATTTAGAGCCGACTTGGCGCTCCTCAATAGATGGAACACTGGTCAAGTCCTCTTCAGTGAATACGCTACTAAAAAAACTGATAGCCCTTATCAGTTGCACCTAGCAACTGATGATAGCATAATGAGGCCATGATAGCACCTCATGGCCTTAGCCTTGCCCTCATCAGAAGATATATTTCGTTGATCCACTTTCAACTCAGAAATATCATCCTTTGATTTGCACATCGAGCGAGCGTTCAAAAAGAAGGCTTTCGAGCTCTTTTTTATGCATTTCAGGCAAGTTTTTTTAATATTTTTTCTGCGCTGTGACAGCTTTCTTAGCTTGATTTCGAGCTCATGCGAATAAGATATAATCGGCATCTCTACGAGTCTGTCAATAGCGCTGGTAGGCTTCCTTCTTGGTTTTCTGCTAAGCTAGAACTATACTGTTCTCCACTGAGTTTTTTTGGCTCCACCGAGCTTAATTCTAGGTACACACGCAGCAACTGCTGACATAACTGTGTCCTTGAGAAATGACCATTACTCAACCACATTCATGTCCTTTATACAGTTCGAAATATTCTCTGCTTCACTGAGTTTATCATAATCGCCTTTCGCAAAATTCAAACGCTCAGGCTTCCAAGGCGTTTTCGGGATCTTTATTCCTCATCCACTCTAGTACCCTAAAATTTCCTCCACTCAGGACCCTCTGGCTGCTCTGCACACGGCTGCCCACGCAGCGCTGCCTGGCACGGAGGTCTTCATGCTAACAGAGAGCGCTCCCTTAAGCCCGGTCCACACGCTCAGTTTTACACAACGATTTGTCTGCGCAGTTCTAATCGTTGCAGATAAAACGTTGCGTGTGGACGGGAAAACTGCGCAGTTTTGGAGCCGGCGGGAAAACTGCGCAGTTCCATCGAAATCTGAGCTACCGATGGGAGGTTAGGTTTCTATATTCAACGTTTCGTTCAAATCTGTACAGTAGTTAAGAAGAAATGTCATGCTCACTGCAAATTTCAGCACGTATCGTCATATAACTCAGGAATGAAGGTGAAATTCCAAAAATGTTCACGAGCTAAACATCACCGTTAAGTCCTAATGAATATGTGTATCAAGTTTTATCGAGCTACGTTCATTACTTTGGGAGATATTCCATGCTCGCCGAATTTGGGGAGACCGGCCGTAAAATTTGTCCGAGACGTTTTCATGGCGAGATCGCGCAAAACTGAGCAAACTACTCAGATAAGTCGGTACCGTGTGGACGCTCTAAAAATTGCAACGATTTCATTCCGACTTATGAAACTGCGCAGACAAATCGTTGTGAAAACTGAGCGTGTGGACCGGGCTTTAGGAGGGCACACGGGGGCCAGCACGCCCCTGCACACACGGGAACTGCTCTTGCGCAAGAGAATCAAGGTGATTCCTATTCCTCTTGTTTTTGACGCTGCTAAAAGATGTCAACAAGCATCTGTTTCTACAATGGAATGGCTACAAATATTTGGCTGTGCGTGGCTTGAAAGTTGTGATTGGAGTAGCTGGTTAACCCGACTGGTTGAAAACCGGTCACTTATGTATAGTGGTGGGCACAGCTAACCGAAAAGTTAGCTTCGACAACCGGTAATCCGCTAACTGAAAAGTTAGCCTTTATTAAACTAACCCGATAAATCGCCGAAAATTTTAGATGAATTTATCGCTAACCGCTAACTATTAGTATATCAATTTAGCTTTGGCTTAATTTTTTTGGGGGCTCTAAACTCAGAGAAACAGATGCAAGAGAGCTAAACTTTTAATATGTTGTAGCATTAACAAAGAGCTTTCCAAAAAGGTGTAGTATGCCAAGATCAGATGATGATCAAGATGTACATAAAAAATTAAATGAACAAACGAAATGAAATGAAGTGTGCAGCAGTTGACATTCAACATGCAGTTTATCAAACGAATAAGAAAGTATTAAACGATTAAGAGATACAAACACACAAGCTAACGATGGTTAGCATTAAATATTAACATCTGAATTCTCTTTCAGAAGAGATCTTAAAAATTTTTGGCGGACTGCCAGTTAGCGGAACTAAATTTAGCGGAAGAGAATTGTTTCGCTGATGGTTTTCAAAGTTAGCTGCTGAAAAGCTAATCCGATAAGGAAAAATTAGCTTCGTTAATTAGCGGTTAGTGGATTAGCGGAACTGTGCCCACCACTGCGTTATGTAAACTGCTCTGAATTATTATAGTATATCAACCAATTGTATTTAGAAAAAACTGTGACAATATTCGAATACTATGCGACGAATGTATATAGAATGTAAAAACACTGTGACGCCAATGTATGAAAACTGCAAATAACTTTCTAAATTATTAACTCCGAATAAATTGCGGCGATATCTGTTCCCCAGAGAAGCAGATGGAATACGGCAATGAAATCATTGATGACGAGTGAGACTGAGCAATCGTACTTCCCTGTTCTCTTCAATGTAGAATTCAATTTATGGGCTGTTAACCTCAGCCACAAGGTATAATCTCTGGAAATTTTTATTTATCGAAAATTTATAAATCAGCATGTACTGCAGATAGAATCACATATAGAACCAGATCGGAACGTATTCATCCAGAAAGCGCGTGTACAATAGTCGCGTTCGAACATGCTCCAACGCTGCATATGACATTTTAAGTTATGCTAGTAACATGTAATTAACTCAACATTTTCCTTCTGGACATTACTATCAGCATCAATAGCTGCAAATATAGCATCAGAAAATCTTGTAATCTCTAGAGGGCTTACGAGCTGCATCAAAAATTAAGAAGGACGACAATAAACGCAAGCAACTCCCGAGAATGCAGCATGCATTCTCGGGAGCGAACAAACAAATACTGTATATTTTTTTAATGCTGTCGTAGATACAAAATAATTTTAGAGAAAAAGGCGCGAAGAAGAATAAGTCACAATTTAAATGTGACTCGCACTTAAGGCTTGGCTTCTTTACAAAGTAGTCGGAGAGGCTGAGAGAGAATAAGACGCAGACACTGAACCACATGAGTTGCCACGGTGGGCCCAACCCCACTACTCTGCGCCCACTACCTTAACTATCTTAATTAAGGTACATGGGGCTTGTATTCGCTCCGAGTATTCAGTTCGAGAACCCACACTCAGAATATTGTGATGATTCATTATTCGGATACGAGTAGCTGATACATTGGCGCCCGAAGCTGTTCAACTTGTTATGACTTATGTGAGGTCTATCTAGTCGGGCTGCGGCAGTCGTCGTGAGTATGTGTGTGCCGCTCTGCATCCTGCAAATACTCGGCAAACCAAATACTCTCCTAGTGTATAGGAGGACCTCAGCTTGCAAAAGTGGACTGGGAGCGAATACAAGCCCCGTGAATGAGCTCTTTTAGAAGGCAACCCTCGTTAGTTTCCAGTTCTCGCTGTACTCTTGAGCTTCTGGCGCTCCCGTAATTTAACATTATAAGTATATAATTCCTGAATTTCGCTCTATTCACATACTGATCCCAACGTTCCAGCTAAAGCTGTTTTACGCTCAGAGATTGAACGCCTGTTGTCGTTGTACCAAGGCATCCGAAATTACCTAGAATTCCAAAAAATGAAAACCACTCGAGAAAGCAACAATTTTACCACGTTTTTCTTCTCTTCGCTTCGTGTCCGTCTGTCTGTCTGTCATCAAAACTTCAAACCCTAATTTAGAGCACTTTTGAAGATCCTAGAAACTTGAAATTTGGTATGCATGCTTATGCTGCCTAACAATTCAAGATTTGATCCTCAGTGAGGATCAAATCAATCAATCAAGTGAAAAAATTCACTTTAGACTTCATTTTAGGTCAAGAATAAAATTTAGGACAACTCACTGAAAAAGTTAATGTTTCTTTAATGTCCGTTAAGATAACGTGGTCTTTAAAAGTTTTGTATTTGTTTTATTCGAAATTAATCTTGCTTGCCTCACTCTATTTGCCACGTCTCTATGCCCCACACATTTGGCGCGCCCGGCATTTCAATTGCTTAACATCTTCCAGGTAATGCCGTTGGTGGTTGGACACATTTTACAAAAAGATGAGAGCGCACAGAACCAATCTACCAAACCTAACTCATCACACAACATATGGATTGGGGGAAACGCAAGTGCCATTCCCCTTGAGCCAGAGATGCTTTCAGCAAGTCGCGTCTACCATATCCTGGCAGAACTCGCCTTAATGACAGGAGGTCACGTCATCGACGTGCCAACTGCAACTGAACTGACGAGCGCTCTTTACGCTGTCAAGAAACAGTATTTTCAGGGCGAGGTATGTACCGTTCACTTTCGGCTGATGACACTCTTTCAAAATGTACCTAAGGATGAGTCGGTCTTGTGCTTAGTGCATTACGTTCACTTAACAACCTGCTGGGTTCAGTGTCTGCTGCGCCTACTATCGTTAAACTTGCATTAATTAGAGGCTTGGTAGTTGTAGACGGTAGGTCTGAACCTCGAGCGATCAAACAAGGACAAGATTTAATGAGTTATTTTGAGAGATAGTTAAGATTCAGTCGGCTGTCAGGATGATGAGGATAAGGGTGATCGAGGGCGTTGTTACAGTTAGTGACCCTATAGCCCTCTGGGACGATCATGTTAGTTTTGGGGCGGATGTGCCCCATACCTAAAGGGGCGTTAGGATGGGAGGAAGGCAGGGAGTGGAAATGCAGGCATGGAGTACGGTTAGATATAGTGGGTACAAAAAGTATCCGACACAAAGGAAAAAATTTATTTCATTGAAGCTTATTCAACAAAATTACATAAACAATGACCATTCTAATGTAAATTTACATGAAAAATACATATATCATATTCATATCAGAACAACAATATCATTAAATGTTGACATGATAATTGTAATTTTGTAAAATACGGTTAGATATAGAAGGTTCAAAAAGTATCCAAAACATCGTAAAAAATTGAATTTGCTTCGCCAATAATTTCTCATCCATTATGTTCCGGGGAATATTCTAAGATTAGAAAACGTTGAATTATTCTAGAGTGCAAAAGAACGTCTTATAGGCATCTCTCATACTGCAGTCATTCATTAAATGGCATCGTCATTAGAAGGTGGCACACATTTTACGCTCTTCAACATTGCCTAACACTGCATAATTGTCTGAATCAACTAGAAAATTAATTATTCAACCACACAGAGATAGTGTGGGATACAAAAATAATATCTGTGTTAAATATCCCAATAACGACAGTTGGGGATACAGTTCGGAGGTGGAAATCATTCCATCTTTCTACTAGTCTGCCTTGTTCAGGGCGTCCTACAAAAATTTTCTCACCTCACAGCTAGGAGTTTTGTTCAAAAAGAACAGAATAGTCCTTGACTGACTCGCTCTGAACTGTAAAAAGATAGCAATCAAGTGAGATAAATGTTTGCAAGAATAAAATTAGCACAGTTCTTCGAGAGAGAGGATTCCAATCTCGATCACCAAGAAAATCCCTCTCATGAAGGAATTTCAATTAAAAAACCGCCGAAACTTTGCTAAAGAACATGCGAGTAAACCTTCAAGCTTTTGGGATAAAATATTATCGAAGAGGAGATTAAAATTGAGTTGTTTGGTCAGAACTGTGTCAGTCCTGTTTTGAGACAGAAGAACTCTGCATTTCACCTAAAGAATACCATCCCAACAGCACAGTTTGGAAGTGACAGCATAATACTTTAGGGTTGTTTCTCTTCTGCAGGCCCTGAGGAATTGAAAATCATAGAAGGAAGGATGAACTCCGAAATGTATCGGAGCATTCTTGAGACTGAGAGATTTCTCGTGAAATCAGCTGAAAAAATGAACCTTCCTCAAGGTTGGATATTTGAACAAGACAGTGAACCTAAGCACACGGCTAGGGCAACTCACCTGACATCAATCCGATTGAAAATGTGTGGCGGGAATTTAAATTGAGGGTACAAGAGAGAGATTCAAGAAATCTTATCCAATTGAAAGATATATGCAAGGAAGATTGGGCTAAAATTCTTATTAGCATATGTGTTAATCTTGTGAACATGTAATTCAACCGGTTATAAGCAGTTTGGCGGCTTAAGGTCACATGACGAAGTATTGAGTAAATTTGCTAACTATATGTTGGATGCATTTTGAACCTTAACTTTTACAAAATTGCAATTATGAAGTCATCATTTAATGATGTTTTAATATGATATTTGTATTTCCTGTGTAAATTTACACTAGAATAATGTTTGTTTATGTTACTTTGTTGAATAAGCTTTAATTAAATAAAGTTTTTCCTTTGTATCGGATACTTTTTGCTCCCACTGTATATAATATTATTGTGGGGACAAAGACATGGAAAGACAAAAGTTAACTAGATCCTGGTGAGACTCATCGCATTATTACAGCTAAATTTAGGCAAGTACGACGACAGCACGGCAGTGATTTTCCGCTTAACTTGTGTACACAAAGTTATTCCATCCTGGTCGATATGCTTTTGTAGTTGGTGGTAATCGTATGAATGATATGAAGTATTATGCTCCTGATCTACGATTAGTGTTACTCGGTTATGGATAGCAGAGTCAATCTGAGGCTGATTAGAGACATAATGGCCAATCTAGTGGGAAGCAACCTAAGTTCTAATGGCTAATTGCAATTTAATTCTAAAATGTAAGCATTTTACCGAGAATTTTTAGAAATTTTAGGTAATGTTTCACTAACGAGTGTTCAATTGCGTCTTTATTTCCTAATGCCTGTAGGCTAACTTAACTTCCGCTTATTTTGCGAGGAATACTTATTGATCACAGGCCTAGTCGTGAGCTCAGTTTATTGGTTACAATGCGGCGTAGGCAACGAACTTTCGAGCACAGGGAACTAAGGAAGGGAAAGGAAAAATTTATGTACTTATGATGAACATAAGTACATAAATTACGCACGGCTATTCTAGTTTATAGTTGACTGTAGAGTATGGATGTAAATATTTAAAATAGAATTATGGCATGGGTCCTTTACTGACAGCTATTAAATCTTCGGCCAAAAAGTGGCAATTGTAATAATTTATCTATAGGCATTCACTGCAGAGTTATACGAGGTAAAAAATCAGTGGCTTGTGATTTGTGGCTGAAACTTATTTATATGATGCACTCCGCATATGGGATTTTGCTATCAAGGAATTATTTACATTTGATTATGATAAACTCATTGTAATTACTTTTATTTTACCTGATAGATTGAACTTTTCTTCGACTTCACAGGATACAAAATATTAGGTGCGTAAGTTGTGTTGCAGTTTTTATTTTTCATGAGGGTTTTTTTCGGTAAATTGTGTTGTGTACATATTGTTTTTGTTCAGGTTGCATTCTGGGCAAGTTGTATTCTGTTCTGATCATGTCTTGCACAGGTTGTGTTGTATCGCGATATTTCGGGGTCGAGTGCCAAGATCATCAACATCACAGTGGATAATCGCGTGCAGGCAGTCGGCATATCGCTCTACGGCACTTTTGTCTCGGCAGCTATGACGGCTGATGGTGGTGGGTGTTAGAAATTTATTAGTACGATCGATAAAATGAATCGGAGAATTTTTTAATTTTATGACGAACTGTATCTTCTGAGATAAATTTAGATTTTATAGACGAGAATCACTCATACTCGTCGGATGGAGCTCTATTCCATGGGATTCGCCAATCCGTCTATAATTTGGACGGATTGGGTGGCCCAGTGGTTACAGTTCAGAGTACCAAGATTGGCGCAGAGAGGCGCGGGTTCGATCCCAGCTCTGTGCGCCAGTTTCTGGTCAGAATCGGCGAGGAGGCCGGGCGGTTAAGCACAGCAGAATTGTAACAGTGAGTTGCGAGTTCGAGACCGCAAAATGCTGTGAATGTTCTGCTATGTTAAGAATCGGCGACAGACCTACGGCCTACTAAACGCTGAAACCGCTATTATTATTATTAATGGATGGATTTTTGGCACCTAACCATTATGAACTGGAATCGAATCCCTCGCGCTCCATTGGAAAGCAATAAATTGTAAAAAAGTTTGCTACGTTGAATCTGAACTCTGTGTCAAATGGCTCTTAGTAAAACGTGCTAACAGAACGTCAACCAATGTTTGTCACTGGGGTCAAATTGCCTAGTCTAATGGACTCTGAGATAAGGGACTGATCCGTTATGTAAAAGTGCAATCGCTGTTGTATGCACTAAACGGACCTCCCGTGCATGGAGAGGGCAAACAAATCTCTTTTTCTTAAAAGAAATCTGCTTTCAAACGGAAAGGATCTCCCGATGGATTTTTCTAGGTTTCTAAATGTATGTTAAGTTTAGAAAAAGTTATGCAATATGCATTTGTGCAAGCCTGATTGAAGACCAAGGAATGCTTCTATTAAATTCAATTGGATTTCTAGGATTACAACCAGACAACTGTGTGTGCTCGATATTGAAATGCTACTTGTATCCAAAGCAGTTTTCCAACTCCTACATATTTGATAACCACCCAAAGTGCCTGACTATGCGCAAGACGTGGATATAAAACAATATCTTTTGTTCTTAGAAAAAACGTAGCTAACTTACAAATGTGGTAAGATGTATGATAGTTGTAAAAATGTTTCAGAATTGCGTGAACTGAATTGATAGACCGTGTGGGTTGCAAGGCCATAAACTTCAGTCTACTGGAAATAAAAACTGCCGTGTGGAATTCATTCACATAATTCTTTGCACCCATGAGGCCTCTACTAATTTTGAATAAAAGAGGAAGAAGGAAAGCGAGAAACGGCTAATAACCATGCAAATCTGTCGATAAATCGTTTAAAATGCACGATAGATTTAGAGAACGAATAGGTCTGCAAATAATCAGTGCTTAGCCGACTGCCCATGGCCTGAAGCTCCTCGAATGCCATCTGTATAAAATGAGAGAAATACCCTTTGTCAGAAAAATAAATATTGAATAGACGAACTTTCATGTATGGATCAATTGGTATATATATATGCAAAAATGGAGTTCCCTAATGGTGGCGAGTCATCATTATCGGTTTGAGTTCTTTAGAAACTCCAATGTATATTACAGTATATCTTGCCAGAAGGACGGGAAAAATATCCAACTCAATCTACCGTACCTCTAAAACTTGCGTGGCAGAGATAAATCAGTCAGTTGCACCTGGGACTGCATCTCATGCAGTCGAGATCCTCACTAGCGCGTGTGAAAGGTGGATCAGAGCAGCCGTCATGTGGGCGCGGTGCGAGGTCAGAAGATAGTGTGCTCTTGAAAAACTAAACGGGGAGCGAGAAGGCTATTCGTTCTGCTGAAGATGAATAATTAAAGGAAACGCGAACTAATTCGCCTGCTGGAGTTTGGATTGAATTTAAAGGCAAATAATCATGAGTAAGCAATCACGTCACAATGTAAAATTGTTGGTCAAGATAAAAGAGAGCATCACAGGGAGATGAGATCGCAGAGAGGACTCTGCATTCACTATTCACTATGTAGTAATATTAATAATGATATTAATAAAAGTAATATTAATAAGGGGTTTTTTGATACGCTAACTAATAAATGTGTTGTTGTTGATATTTTGTTTTAAATTTCTAATGTGATCACTCTGCTGAGACTATTTTACTTTTCTAAATTTTCCAGGATCGATTACTGATCTACTTGGTGATTCTCCAACGACAACCAGAAAACCTTATGACTATTATAGATCACGGCACCACCAGGTTCCTGTCACATTAGGCATTATGAAGGTAAAGATTTAACTTGATTAAAAAACTAACTTTATCTACAGAGCATTTTTTCTCGTGTCTACATTTGTTATTAGACGACATTTCTACCAGCAGGTGTTAGATTCAACTTCTCGGGCCAGATAGTTGACCACGCTCAATTCGGGCAAGTTCTAAGTCCCGTCCACACGGTCAAACTTAATTATCGTCAAGTCATGCTAAGTTTAACACCCAAGACGGAAAACTGACATTACAAGACTTACGAGACGGGTCGCACCATTTTTTTGAGTTCATAGATCTTGACTGCAGTTTTCCATGCCCGCGGCAAATTAAATTGAAAGACAACAGGGACACAAAAAATACACTGACCGATGCGACTTGATTAATTGCAATTAAGTAGATCCTACAGCTAACTAAGTATTCGTACCAAAGAAAGTAATATCATTTCGTACTGTACATTGAAAATAAGTGTCAACAACATTATTGACCCTCTAAAAATATTCTCATATTATTTACCTTAAAGTACATCTTCATAACATTGTAACTGGACTAGCAGGTCTCCAATATTATTAAACTTAAAGCTTGTTTCGAAAATATTGTTTTGAACTCGAAGTCTTTGTAGCTACGCCCGGTAGCCAAACTCTCAGAGTAGCAAAAATTTTTCTTCGTGGCTGCATGGTCGAAGTCCTCACTTCGGAGTCGATTTTTAAAAGTATGGTTCTACAAAATTGAAGAATTTGCTATAGATTTCTATATCCTTACGTAAGTAATTACGGCATCTGGTGGTTCCCATTGTAATTACCGTAAAACTTCACTTGAGGTTTTCTTCTCTCCAGTAACCACTGTCGAAACCACCGCGTCCATCTAAATCTCTGCAATTTAATATTGTTTGTCCAATTCACGATCAATTCAGCGGTGACAACTACGTCCTTTCATGGTCGAGGGAGCAAAAACTGAAGAAAAGTTGGAATCGCATGGACGCCCATCAGTCATCCGTCTTGGATGTCAAACTTTGGCATAACGTGCCAGATTGACGATAAGATGCAAGATTGACGATAAGTTTGCCCGTACGGGGTTGAGGCAATAGCTATGGAGAATGGACATACAGCACTATGGCTTTTAGGCCCTTACATGTATTTTTCCTTCATCATGTTATGACTGAAACCATGTGCTACTGTCAAAGCCCGACACAAGTTGGCGTAGTGCGCTCTCGTTAATTTTCGGAGCAGCCAGTTGGCAACGAGTCGGATGAATGGGACATAATAATAAGTAAGCATAATATTACCTACTTTTACAATACATAGAAAGTTTGATAGACATTTACATTACCTACATTAAATACTTTCTCACAAGTATTCACGGCTAAAAACACCTTTACAAGTTAAGCTTAATATTAAAAGACGTGTTGACGTTTACATCCCCTCAATGCAAATGCCGTTGAAACTACGATGATTATTAGTTAATTTCGTTGAAACAACGTTTAATCAACCTTTGATATCTACATTGGGGCGTAATTCTACATGTCTATTTATCGCATGCATCCAATTTGGCTGCTTATTCTTCAGAAAGGCAGAAGATCCGATTTCTACTGCAAAGCTATCTATCGACGTCACTCGTCTATTGCAAAGCTGTCTAGCTATGACGAGTAACGTTACATGCATGTTTAGTGTTTTAGCTAAAATGATAGATGACCAAAAATGCAGGACAAGACTGATGTATTCGAAAATAAACTACAACAACAATGGACAGATGCAAAAACGAGCAAATATAAATAATTAAAATAAAATCGGCCATATACCATCATGTGAAGCCTCAGAGATTCAAGAATGTACTTCCGTAATTCCTAACATTTTGATGCTAGAAATTTTATTCTCCAATGCTATATTTTGCGTCACTGACAATACCGATTCTTTTAAAATTGTTTAATGTATTTGTTATATACCATCATCTATGAAATGTAAAGTGTTCATGATATTGGTTTATAGCAGTCTTCTTATATTAGTTTTCATTTCTGCCCAGTTGCTGTAATAATACAACTGATAAACGTTTCCGGTGAAATGTGATAGCGACAACGAGATAAGAAGAGCTAACGGTGACTTCGAGTTTTGTGAATCTCAGTGGATTTCTCAATGTCGCTGTTGAGTGGCGCTTGAGCGCCGTTAAAGGTGGTGTTTGCAGCATGGTCTCGGGTTGCTTTAGCAGCTTAGCTAAACGAACTCAGGGTACGTTTTACCAGGCATATCTTGAATTATCAAGTAGACAAGCCACATACAAGAGCTCCCGTCAAATGATTCTGCCATATAATGGCGATGCTGGTTTTGAAAGCGCGTAAAAAAATCAGAAAGGTTGCACGCGTGCGGCAGCATGTTCATCATGCATGTGTGTTGTGCTTGACGATGTACTATGCTATGGAAAATTTCAGGAAATTTTTCAGAATATCTTGCATGCCTTTGTTTACAGTACAAAGTGGGGCGCACGTTCATGCTTGTCAGGTTGGCATTGACGAAAAGAGTTAAATATCTGACATTGACGTACTTTCCATCTGGCGTCGCGTCAGTCATAGTTACGGCCTCGTCAGCGACGGATGTCATCCCTTCATTCTACCACGCTGACGTCAACAGCAGTTACCCGTCTATGCAACGTTTATCACACCCCTCTACTACAGGTGAGTCACACCTATAGTTGTGTTGGTTATTCGGGTGACCGGAAGATGTGTGAAGGGTTTAATTAATATGGAGAGATAATTGGAACTGCATATTTCATGATGCGAATAGATAAATACGGATATATCCCGCGAAAAACACAAGTGGCCCCTCGTGGCTACTACCAAGTGGTTCTGGTGTCCAGTGCTCTGAACTCTCGCCCAACCTCTCGAATTTTTTTCAGCCTCCTGAAGAGAGTGCGTGTCACTAGGAATTAAGACTTATTTTTTTTTGTGCCACGTTTTCTACTATTCCTTTATATATTTGACATCATCCCATTCCCTCGTGCTCCCTCCTCCCGCCTCGAACCCACCGGGCTTGCCTCAGCGAGCAAGCTGAGGCCGGTGTTCGGACCACTACCAGGCACGGGGGCTCAATATTAACGACGCTCACGGACTGCCTCGACTCACCGAGTGACGCACAGGAAAGACATGACCGAATCTTCTTGTACCACCACATCAACTGACCTCTCTCCGAGACTCGAGCTACTCACCCCCTATCACCTTCATCATAACCATTATCACCACTCATCCCATCAAACCATTATTTGAAATATGCACAAACAAAGTAATAAATACCACAAAAAGGTGAAAAAGAGGGTTAAAAAACGAAAGTAGAAAGAGTTTTTAATATAACAGCCCTCAAATTTGCACAAACTTAATATTGCATCGAACTGCAAATTCACCCCTCACTCCTCCACAGCAATCAATCAAAGCGGTGACGGGTTTTCTATCATCCCGCACCCAACCCAAACCTAACACAACCCAACGAAACAACCTAATTATGCGCTATGCGTCTGTCCTCATTTCCAACTGTCTTTTTCATTTCTCCTTCGGTCTGGCCACTCCACGCCCCCTCTTGTTCTCTTCCACTCTTTCCAAGTGGCACCGCAACCGCAGCAACACGACCAAAACACAACTCTCTTTACAACAGGCATGCACGAATACCTAGGAGTAGTTGTGCCCGGCATCGACACGGCCAGTTTGCAGAGAGTGATATCCGTAGAATTGACGCCGCTCGCTAGCCCTGACTCCTCCCGCTCTCTACAGTTGCCAACAACCTCACCTCGATTCATCACTTATGCCAGACTAAACGATTCCACCACTCTGCCACTGTTGCCATTTAGCATCGTCTACACGGCACATGACTCTGGAGGTGAATAATAAAACTCAGTGCCAAGATGATTTGACTGGGACTAAACTTTAAAGGGACAGAAATTTGCTGAAAATAATTTTGGTGATCTGTCAATACTTTATTGGGAATTGAATTCCTCCATAGCAGCAAAATTCATCTCAACTTCATATTATATGCAAGCAATGCCGTAAATATGCATTTAGATTTTATAATATTAAGGTGCTCATTGATAAATGGTTGAGTACGCCTTTGCAGTATAATTTCGTGACTCTTGGAGTGAACTATGTTAGCAACTACCCTATGCGTTGACGCACTTGGTGCTCACTGGGCATCTTAATTCAAAGAGGACATGTTAAAATTTGATACTATCGTCGAACGCTCTCGATCAGGTCGAGATCTCGTACGCATGAGCCAGCAGATGCAGATGCCATGCGAGTTTCGAGTTTGTCTTGGCAGCGGCCGTGAGGTGTGGGGGAGACGTGGAAAGAAACTTTCGGTCCACTTCAGTATCACCAACACTGCTGAAGCGGATGAAACTTTTACCATCAACGCTGCCGACTCTTTAGGATACCCCATTGTATTTCCGCGGAAAAGGTCAAGTATTTACAACATATCTCAAAAGAAGTGCAAGCCTAAGAAAGATAGGCATGCTGTCAAATATGATCAAGGTTTTGATTCAATATACCTTATACATTTTTTACGATGCCTCACAGTGAATGCATATTCGTGTTCGCATGATAGTCAATGAAAACATATTACTTGGTACAAAATCAAACAACGCGTAATCCAGTTTATTCTTGAATTAAATCCACGTTCTAAAACATGTATCCTAATCTCAAAGTAATGGGAAGTAACAATTTACGGCTTTGAGGTACATTAACGTCTTTTTTCGGTGCAGCGTTCGAGTGGTGAGCAAGAAGTCAGTCAACTTGGTGTTGTTCGTCTACATACCTATGAGGGTGAACGCCTTCCAGCAGTTGGTCAAGCCTACGGAATACGGAATTAGCGACATTTCGAACATCAAGTCTGTGTCCAACTCTCTTGTGATCACAGCGACGTCTCCTAAGGGACAATATAGCAGCGTCGTGGCTTACGTCATTGACACAAGCGACGTGGAAGACGGTGACATGTTCGTCACAAGGAACGTTACACACCTCTAAAATGTGTGCGTCATATGCTCGGTTACAACCTAACCTAACCTAACATGAGCGCTCTGGTCGGTAGACTGACGAAGAAAATTATAACTGTACGAAAGATCTTATACGAGGAAGTCTCAAGTTTGACATGAGAAGTATTGAGGCGGTACATAGACCGCTGATTCAGTAGACTGATTCAGTTAGAAGAGGCCGTGCTTCAAAACATTCCAGAAGGCGTAGAAATGCAACTGGATCACGTTATTTGTGCGTGAAAACTTTCAAACGTGAAGTAAACGACATGAATTGAATTCACGAGTAGCTAGCTGGTTTCTTACATGTCGCGTCGGTATTTTCAAACGAGTACCCTTGTCTTTGACATTATTCTTGATCGATATGCAGTTTGAGTAAAGTTAAAATCTGTATTTGATCATCTTTCGCGTGTCATACTTTGCCATTTTACCTTTCACCGCTTTATTTTTAATGCCTTTTTCATCGCATGACTGGAAAAATTAGAGTTCGATATTACAGAAGTATAATAATCAAACATAACATGGTTACAATTTCGGAAATAAATACTCACGGATCTGTAATCCCAATAAAATTCTTCCTATTATATAATTGTTTACGTGCATGAGTGCTATTTTAAAGAATTACATTGACGTTTAAACTATTTTCTTTTCATTTTCTATTTCTTAAGTGAAAAAATTATCTGTATGGGACAAATCAAATCAAAACTCGTCACAATTATTTAAGTACTCATACATTCTTATAAAAGGTTTGCCAGCATTAAACAGAATTCGCCTCGTAGGCAGTTCATTGCAGAGAATAATAATGACATATTCCTAATAAAGGATTGCATGCACGTAATTTTGCTCTTCTTATCGCCGAATTTTATTTTGCAATCTTGATGGTAAGTACAGTCTGCTGCCATTGTGATGGTTTGGTGTCTTGCCCCAAAGTACGAATGTGCGCACATTAGTTCAGACTTGATATCTGCACTGTTAGAAAATCGACCGTAAAAAAAACGTTCCCACCGGCGTTACAGTGGCCGGTTATTCACCGTTAAATTAAACGACGGGAACGTTTTCCCGCACGAAAACGGTACGCCCGTTTTGTACTTTACGGCTTCCTACAGTTTCTTTCATACAGACTATTGTAATCCGACATAGCCACACATAAGAAGACATAGCGAGACATAAGGAGACAAAGCGAGACATAAGAAGACATAGCGAGACATAACGAGACATAAGGAGACATAAGGAGACAAAGCGAGACATAAGAAGACATAGCGAGACATAAGGAGACATAGCAAGACATAAGGAGACAGCGAGACATAAGGACACAGCGAGACATGGAAACATAGCGAGACATAAGGCGATATAGCGAGACATATGGAGACATAGCGAGACATAAGGAGACATAGCGAGACATAAGGAGACATAGCGAGACATAAGGCGATATAGCGAGACATAAGGCGATATAGCGAGACATATGGAGACATAGCGAGACACAAGGAGACAGAGAGACATAGCGAGACATAAGGCGATATAGCGAGACATAAGGAGACATAGCGAGACATAATGAGACATAGCGAGACATAAGGAGACATAGCGAGGCATAGGGAGATATAGCGAGACATAAAGAGACATAGCGAGACATAGCGAGACATAGCAAGACATAAGGAGACATATGGAGATATAAGGAAAAATAGCGAAACATTAGGAGACATAGCAAGACATAAGGAGACATAGCAAGACATAGCGAGACATAAGGAGTCATATGGAGACTTAGCGAGACATAAGGAGACATAGCAAAACATGAGGAGACATGGAGAAACATATGGAGCCATAGCAAGACATAAGGAGACATGGCGAAACATATGGAGCCATAGCGAGACATAAGGAGACAGTAAGACACAAGGAGACATGGCGAGTCATGAGAGGACAGCGAGACATAAAGAGACATGACGAGACATAACTTAAGACATGGCGAAACTTAGAGAGACATAGCGAGGCACGATGAATAATAACGCGAGGAATTTGTTCATATCTTTATTGGTTCAACTGAAATATTTTTCGGAAGCTACATCGCAGACTGTATATGCATGCAGGAAAAAATTCCACGGATATATAGATGCATCTTCATTGATAAAAATAAAGAAACTGCGGTTTAATGCATCGTGAATATATTGATAAGGAGAATATTTACTGTTACATTACTATTCCTAACAAATAAAATCAGTAGAAATTAGTTACCACTCCAGTAAGAAATTTACATTATTGGCAAATTAAAACTTAAGTGAATTAAATACAATTTTTAATCCGAATCTAAATGGCGTACGGGTGCCAATAACAGGTCATCATTCCCGATATCAGTGATTAGACCAAATCAACGCAAGTGAGACGTAATATACTAAAGCGGTAATATACTATACCTTAACATTGAAATAAAAAGCACTGTAAAATAACAGTCGACGTATGCAAAAGATTGTGAAAATCACAAGGGAACGTCTCAGAGAAAATCTAGTTACATGGAAACGTCCGTTGTAGGGAGAGGCAGTCGAAGAGGTGCTCAGTGGAGCGGAATGGTTCCCCCACACTCGAGACAAGCCGCGCTTGCGAAGGGGCCCACCCTGAATGTGAAGAACGCAAGGTGCCTACAAAAGCACGAACGGTGCTGATCCAGCTCGGAGTGGTAGGGGTGCGGGAGTATTGCGGGCCAGGATTCTGGGGTGGTGATGCGGTCAACCCTGGGGAGTTGAGGCGGTCAGGACCCTGGGGAGTTGAGGCGGCAGGACCCTAGGGAGTTGAGGCAGTCCGGAACCTGGAGAGGTAAGACGGCCTGGATCCTGTTGTTCGCAGTGGTCCCCGCGATGTTGGAGGCGATGGCCCTGCTAAGGGTCCGTAAAGGCCCCACATAGGAGCCTGCTGGCAGGCAGCCACATACCAATACTTTGGCAAAGAAATGACCAAAGCGGGAAAGCAGGGCCATCTTCACGAGTCTGCACTGGAGGGGCAGAGACAATCCGGAAAGAATGAGCGTAGGTTTGGAGGACGCGTGCCAGGAACTCAGCAGAATCTTCGCCGTGGGGTACCCAGGCTGCGTGCCAATTTGCTTCTGTGGGTTCCGCGGTCGGGCCAAACAGCAGACATTCCCCAGTCGACACCTCTCCTCGTGGTCACTATTGTATGCACTCCCGCGAATGAAGAATTTTGGCTCGCAGAGTACCTGCAAAAGTTATTCAAGTTAGTTCAAAATAATTGCATTTATAAAAATTGATGGAGCCTCCACCTGGAAAAAGGACAACAATGAATTTCAAATCAATGAATGGAGGGCCTGAGGCCTTAGTATGATCAATGTATCATAAACAGAAGATTGTATGAGCACATTTGTGAGAGCTATTGCCATAATTAGCAGTGAAATCAGCCACTCGATTCGTTTTATCAATATTTGAATTCATTAAATGCCTATCTTGTTCAATTTGGCGATTTTGTCCAAATGATTAAAGTTTTAAATTCCTGGTATCGGCTCTAAAAATACATTAAAATACGTTAATGAAGCGGAAACTGCCGAGCCACAATATACAGAGTGAATCACAAACCTCTTCAGATACCACAGCTGCGCAGACTGCATTCGGTTATTCGTTGTCTGAGGCGTAGTGGGAAGCGAGAAGCGTCACCAGTCCGTCCACGAGGCACGGCACCTCGCATTTGCTGACCGAAGGACAGCGCTGCTCTGCGTGCACTAATGACGGTCCTGAAGAGGCAAAATATGTAATTAATACAATCAACCTCTGTTTTAATCATCAACGCACAAGATTATCCAAATATTGAAGCAGAACCAAGTCGACAGTCCACTAACATATTTTTTCTCAGAGCTGAACTGATTTTCAGTGAATAGTGTCAATAAACTAGTGACATTTTTGACAATGTGCAGCATATAAACCAAGACGAAAAAGCATGGGTCGTATGGCCTCTTTCATGGAAAGCTCACATGAAGAGTCTTTCATGAAAGCTCACATGAAGTCAGCTTCACCTCTACGTCTAAAGAATCCAGTCACAAATCAGAGTGTGACGGCCATGATGATGCAGAGAAGTGCAGTAAGTACTGCAATACTTCTTGTAGGGATTTTCTGTCTCCACGCCCATTGCTGGCTCTGCAGGTGATTCAGCTGGAAAATAATTATTGTGTTGTAAATAATTATGAAAACTCTAATGCCAAAGTACAAAATTTGTAATTTAATTGAGAAATTATAAAACTAACTATACTGTTAGTGAGGTTTAATTCAACAAGCATTGCTAGAAAATACAATCACAATGCAATACACATAAGTTTTCAATTTAAAGCATATTCTATGGATAGAGCATTGCATAAAATAATATAAAAACTTGAATTGTACAAGGTAATCAATACTCATGCACTTAATTGTTTAAGACTCCTCCAGACTCTTGAATGTTTTTCAGCACTTCTAATGTATGGACTTTTAGGCAGAAATGCTCATGGGTGCTTCTTAATTCGAGCTCAGGTGCATTTCTTTTTCATTATGGACCATTCCTTGATGATTTTTTAGGTAAACTTGAAAAATTATTTGCCTAATTGACAAATAAATTCCTTAAATAGTTCTATTTTAAATTGAAATGAGTGAGAATGGACTATAACAGCAATTATTCTGTGGCTTGTAATGATACAATAAAATGTTGTAACATATATTAACAATGCAGACTTGTGATGAGATACATCAAATGCAGGTTTTTATGCAAGTAAAGAACTGTCCTCAAATGAGGCACTAGAGAAACTGGAGATCTGGGGCTAATTCAGATCAATAAAATCATGCTAATGTTTTCTTTTATTTGATTGGGAGCACAGAAAATAATGGGATTAATATTTATTTGTGAAACAGTAAAAAATACATCAAGCAAATATTATTACAGTCTTTTACAGATATACTTGTGCAGTGAAGAACTGAACAGAAATTTTAAAAACTAACTTAACTTGCTTGATGGATTTTGTTGGCATGAATTTCATTTGCCAAAACTTCAGCAATTATCACACAATTTGTATTTTATCCTCATAGTTATCCCATTGCCAATTTCTGGATATTTCTACTATAGTATTTTTAATAATGGAATTACATTTTAGGTCAACATGTCAGATGCTCATAAACAAACTGAATTCACCCTTCCATTTTGTGCAGCGTTGAGCATTGTCACCCTATCAGTTGTATAATGTTAAAATTGCTATTATTATATTATTATTAAAAATGAAGATTTATTTGGAATAATAACTTAGATAAATACCACCTCTTAATTGTTTGGTGCTTTGAATTTCAACGTATTATCAATTATCCCACCAGTCCTACCTAGACTTTGAAGTAGAGAAGATACTTCAGTCAAATATAGAAGTGTTGAATGTATTTCTTCATTAATAATAATAAATAATTTTTTTAATAATCAACCAATCTTTTAATAAAGCAATAACTTATGTAGTCACTATATAGAGCAATACATTTTTCAGTCACAAAAAAACTGACTAAAAGTAGCTTTTCGTGATGAATAAAGTATTGTTTTATTTATTGACTAAATAAGGAATTGATTTATTAAAAGATTAGTTGATTAGTAAATAAGTAATTTGTTATTATTATTATAGCACTACATTCAACACTTCCAAATATGACTGAAGTAGCCTCTCTCCTTGTCTTAGGTATGTAGGGCCCTAACTGGGAAATTGGCAGAAGCCACCTGTGAATTGGACAATAACGCCTGTGGATCTGGCCAATTTTACCCATCCCTATGACATTTTCCGATTTTCTTTGGTGAAAAATTGGAAAAGCGGTTTAACTTATCCAGCAGCTTTTTAAAATAACCAGTGAAACAATTGTTTTCAGCTGCAGCTTTTTAAAACAATCAGTGAAACAATTGTTTTCAGCTGCAATTTTTGGAAACTTCTGCGGCTGCGGGTGAAGTTCTGCCCAATATTCCAAATTGGGTAGGGCTGGTAAGCCAATTGATGGTAGGTAAAAAGTCAAAGCTCTGAACAATTAATAGAAAATATTAATGTAAATTATTATTTTCAACTGAACCTTTATTGTTACTAATATTAGAAATTATAGCATGTTATGATAATAATAGGGTAACAATACTGAATGCTTCACTTATTGAAGAGTGGACAAAATTTGTTTCAAGTTGGCCAAACTGCCAACATTGTGATATAACCTGTGATTTTGATTCCCACCTGATCACAGAATTTAAAGTAACAAAGTAGAAATATTTAGAAATTAGTGATGGGCTAAAAATGGTGATAGGTAGGATTCAATTTTCAAGTTGTGCAATAATCTGCTGAAGTTTTGGCACATAAAATTAATGTAAAAAAAAACATATCAACCAAGTTAAGTTAGTTATATAGTTCACTGGTTAACTGTAAAAGAGACTATCAGAGTGGAACTCTAGGGTTGATGCTCCATCTATATTCTATATTTCAAGAAACTAGCACACTTGTTTAACCAAAATATCAGCAAGGTTTTAAAAGAAAGCTTCAGTTGCAAAAATTCCAGTACAATATGATATTCGGACTTGCTCATTTATTGCCTCTCGCAAAAACTACTTTGTGAGCAGTGTAAATCGTCAATGACAATTTGTCACTAGGCTGACTGAAGTCACAATTCGCCCAGGTCGACTCCCTCCCTAGTCCCTACTGCACACAACTCGGCAGTCGGCACTATTTGAATTCCCCAAGAATAGAAGCACTTCATCCTGAAATTATCAAAATATAATGAATAAGAGGTTGTTTCTCGTCGACTTCGCTGCACAGTATCACTGGCTAGCTCTAGTCTATAGAGTTTAGAAATCGGCTGATGTCGAACCATCGCAACTGAAAGTATTAACACTCAAAGAATAGGAGAACAAACATGAGCAACTCAACTGAATAACATACAATACCTTATCATTTGTACAAAAATCACAGCCAACAACAAAAATGAGTATAAACTAGCATAAATAAATTGAATAAATTTAGCTCTTAAGTGATGTCTGCCACTCAAGATGGCGTCTAGGTATTAACTCGACAGATGAACGTGGCGCCATCTACCGTTGAGCACTGAAGTCCAACAAACCACGGTAAGTAACCTGAGTGACCGGATTACGGTAAATGAGCATCGAAATATAACGTGTGTTACACATTTTTCGGCCGTTTTTTCTAACAGTGTGCTTTCATGGCCAAAGTGGGCTCGCGGTCACGCTCGAAAGGAATCCAGTATTTTATTTCTTCTATTTCAATGATAGTGCAGATAGATTGGCAATAATCATAGGGTGAATGAATCACCTTACACATTGGATAGTTGATCGAAAATAAGATTTATTTCTTCAGGATGTACCTAGCGTGCCAAGGGGACTATCTCCCTCATGACTATCATGCTATTTTTTTAATTTACATAACATATAATTCTTAACTATTCAATTGACTGCGGCACAATTATTTCAAAAGTAAAATATGGAGAGCTTTTTTACAATACTTCTCTTTAACTTCACTTCTCGTTATTTGTCTATCTGTCTGCTACAAATCTTATAATCGAAACTTAACACACTTCTACTTCTCCTATCGATCTGAAATTTTGCACACTTGCGTAAAGTTGGAGACAAGGCATGAATCAAATGACAAAATAAATAATTTAAAAAAAATTTCAATATTAAAAAAATGAAAAAATAATTTTGTCTGCTACAAATCTTATAATTGATATTTGACACACTTTTACCTGTCCAATTGATCTGAAATTTTGCACACTTGTGTGAAGTTGGAGGCAATGCATGAATCAATTGACAGAATAAATAATCTTGGGAAAAAAATTATATATTAAAAAAAATGAAAATTTAATTTTTTTTAATATTCGAAAATAAAATTAGAAATTCATTGTACATCTGTAACATTGGAAACACTGGATTCTTTGGAAGTGTTGTCTCTAAAAAGTAATTTTTAAACATATATTATTTAAAATTTAGTCCTGAATCTAGTGTGAATTTTTGCTGGCACTGTAGTGATCCTGTAAACCGTTGTAAACTGTCCAATTGAACACCAGCCCTTGAACCCACTTATATGAGTATGATAAAATGCATTACTATATATTTTACTCACGACCGCGCCGCTACCAACAATCTAACGCGAGATCTTGAGACACTTTACTGATCCGCAACGTGAAGTCAGTTAATACTCAGTGGTCAGTTAATATACGGAAGTCACTGGTAGTGTTCCTAGCAGTAGGATCGCGGAAACGATAGCCTACTCTCAACAGATTAACAAATTATCACGTTTAAAAAAGACCTATTTATTGGAGCACAACAATGCATTATATTAGGTAAATAAATGTCCCATTTATAGTGGATTAAATCACGATAAATACACTAAATAATTGACCAGATTCGGGCAATGAACATGGATCAAATTTCCTCGGAGCAATGTAGTATCATCCCATATGAAGTCAACATATGGCGCTGGTAGTGAAAGTAAAAATACTTACGGTACTCAATTAAATCTCACAAACTTACCGGGAATGGGTCCGAACTCAGCAAATTAATTAACTATTGACCTATGGCGCAAGATTAGATATATATGAGAATAAAACATGGTGGTAATATATATAGGAACGTAAATGTTCCAATATTCAATATCTGAGTCAAGAATTTTGTAATGTCAGATATAATATAAAATTAATTAAGTAGTTCAAACTAATGTGGCAAATTTATGGCATCAAACTTTGAACTAGCTGTGTGAAGACATGAAGTGATCCCTGCCTTTTACGCTGTGTGCAAACGTGAAGCGACCCCTGCTGTTTACGCGGTAGCTCTCATTCTGTAAGCGGGTTCTGCAGCTCAGTCTGTCAGCGGGTTCTGCAGCTCCGTCTGTTAGCAGGTTTTGCAGCTGTCTGTCAGCGGGTTGTGCAGCTTATTCTGTCAGCGTCACTCAAGATGGTATGCCAAAGCCAATACCAACAATGCAGAAGGTTGGCACCCAGAAGCCAATACTAACAATGCAGAAGGATGGCAAGCAGAAGCCAATACTAACAATGCAGAAGGATAGCACCCAGAAGCCAATACTAACAATGCAGAAGGATGGCACCCAGAAGCCAATACTAACAATGCAGAAGGATGGCACCCAGAAGCCAATACTAACAATGCAGAAG